TGGTTGGTTGGTTGCCCTGCTGTGGGCAGGAGGGGAGATGAGAGCAGGAGGGTCACTAAGGGGGAGGGGCAATAGTGGGAGGGGCCAAGGGGGAGGGGGAGGGACCTGGAGAAAGGGGAGGGGAGGGGCAAAGCGGAGGAGGGCCAAGGGGAGGAAGGGGCAAAGAGGGAGTGAGGGGCAATGGGGGGAGGAACAAAGGGGGCAAAGGGGGGAGGGGCAAGGAGAAGGGAGGGCAAAGAGGGGGAGGGGACAAAGGAGCGGCGGGAGGAGCAGAGGGAAGCGGGGAGGAGTGCGGAGGGCCCAGGGCTGCTGGGAGCAGGGCACAACCCCCGCATGGCGCAGGTGGCACCAGCGCAGCGCCGCTGTCCGGCCCCAGCTCCGCACCGCAGCTCACCGGGGCACCCGGCCCAGGCTGCGCCCGGGCGGCTCTGCGGGATCCCCGCAGACGGACACTCGCGGCCTCGCTGGGCAGCCTGGCCCAGGGCTCTGGCACCCTCCCTGGCAACACCTTTTTCCTTAAATTCCTGTAGAACTTGTGGGGAGGCTTCTGTTTGCAACTGTTTCCTATAGGCCTGGCAGTGGCCACCACGGAGAAGCGGCCGCCCCCTCCTCGCTCCCTGGCTGCATTCAGCAGCTCAGCCCGCTGCAAAGCGCCTTCGAAGGCGGACTCCAGCACACGGAGAACCCGTCACCACCTTCCCTGCAGCTCGCGCTGCCGCAGGGCGGGCAGGGTTTTAGGTTTTTTAGTTAAAAAAAAAATACCTTGGGATGCATTTTAATCATAGGAATCTCTCTTCTCCTGCCTTGATGTCTGATCAGTACGTATAAACTCATGAGATTCTTTCCAGCAGCTAATACTGCTCTAGCTTTGGCTCAAAAACAGCGCCTAGGGCAATGTATGAGTATTTAAAGTTCCACGGCTAATTACATATACCTTAATAACTCACATTTTTGTGAAGCATTTGGAACTACTCAGTATGTAAGTGACAACTTTAATGAACTGTGAGAATTTCCATCACGTTCAACTGTAGATTTGGTTCGCAAAACGTTCTCATAAGCTAATGCCACTCTCAGGCTGAGAAACCTGAGCAAACTTTATGCAGGGACCAGGGAGGGCAATACCTCTCATGCAACGTGCCCACCCACTGACCCATGGTGACCGTGGGGACCCCGTGGTGCTCTGGGCAGCCCCACAGCGCCCAGCTGAGCCTGTCCATCCCTCCAAATGTCTCACCCACCTCTCATGCCTTGCTGATGTCCTTGACCCAGCAGAACAGGGGTGCAGGAAATCCAAACATGGAACAGTCTAGACACAGAGAAAAGCAGTTTTGGACCCGTAGAGATAAAACAGCGCCCACTTTTCCTCGGTAATCTGGCCTCTACAGTTCCAAGCATTGTATTTAGCAGTCCTTCCCCGCTGGCCCAAATGCTACAGCACGTGTAAAGACAACAGAGCAAGTGTCACTGAGAGCACAGTCACTGCAGAATTACTCATGATACACGAGTATACCAGGACACAATGTGCATAGAGACTGTCTTTGCTAGGAAGGGACGTTTCTTTGCTGTACACCAGCTTTTTCTACTTGGGGCCTTTGGTACTTTGACTTGCAACAGTCAAACATCCTAACGTTGAGAAAAACTCTTCCATTTCCTTCTGCAGAAGCTGATTTCTCTTCTCAGCATCCTCACGAGCACGGTCAGAATTCCTCAGCTTGATCTCCAGCATTGTGTATTTCTTTCGTTCTTGGTCCAGTTCTTCTTCTAGCCTAACCACTTGTTTCCTCAGGTCCGCACTCGTTTCCTCAATTCTTAAAACCAGAGAGGAGAGAAAGAGAGAGGAAAAAAAAAGAGCATTTTTAGTGGCTGAATAGAGGCTACACTAACAGCTAAAACTGAGCTAATAAGTTGCTCAACTTAGAGCTAAAGTATCAGTGCCGTAATACAGGGAAGGCTCTTAGGGGAGGGCACTAATTACCATTTCTTACTTAATGTCGAATTTGAAGGCAGGGAATTGCTGAAAGCTGGATCTCACTCCCTTTGTATCCTGGGAAAAAATGCTTAAGTCTTACACCAATGCTTGCTTTTAGGGAACAGAGTGAACGTCCAAGGGAGACGCGAGTCACTCCTTGGGTTCAACTGAAATATGAACCTTCTAAAATATTTTTTTAATCTCTGTTTTCATCCTTATGCTATTTTTCCCTGTATGGATATCCAACAGAGAAGAACATCCCTTTGACTTGGAAGTCAGTTAAGAATGAAGTCACAGTTCTTCCTTGCAGTCCATTTTTGGTATTTTGGTATGTAAGATTTGTTACATCAGGAAGTATCTGAAGAACAGACCTTGAATAGCTCATCTGACACAAAATTCATCTGTAAATAAAACAAGAGTCAGGGCTTTTCTTAAGGAAGTCAAAGCCCAAGAGTCAAGTCTTTGATTTGAATGAGCGCAGCTGGGGCATCACTTGTTCTCCCCGTCATTATCAATAGAGAGAAGGACGTAGATCCACAAGAGAACTCCTTATTACTGGAGAATTCAAAAATGGTGAGTTGAAAAATCAGGTTTTAGTGAGGAAGATATCCCCCTTTTTAAGAAATGACTGAGATTCAGTGACCACTATAATGCAAACGTGCAGCAGAGGAGCCAGGTGCCTGTGAAAGGCGGCGCGGGGCTCCTTTACCCAGCGCGAAGGACTTGGGAATTAGAGGCCCAGGCCCTGTCCACAGCAGACATCCAGTCCCTTTGGTCTCCAACGGGGTTGGCTCCCGGTTCCGCTCTGCGCTCCCGGTTCTGCTCTGCGCCCGGCGCCTGCCCTGCAGCCTCCCTCCCACCCGCACCGGCGCCGCTGCCAAATCCCCAGCAACATTCCCAAGGAGGTGCAGTTTCCTCCCGCAAAAGGCAGGCAGGTAACAAGTATTTCCAATTCTGGGTAGGAAGAGCTGCACTGAGGGGCACAAACGTGTGGCCCTTGGGCAGAGGCGGCCGCTTTCCAGCTGGGCGGGGAGGCAGCAGGCGCTGCGGCGCTCCAGCTGCCCCTGCACAGCTCCAGCTGCCCCTGCGGAGCTCCAGCTGCCCCCGAACAGCTCCAGCTGCCCCTGCGGCGCTCCAGCTGCCCCTGCGGCGCTCCAGCTGCCCCTGTGCAGCTCCAGCTGCCCCCAAACAGCTCCAGCTGCCCCTGCAGAGCTCCAGCTGCCCCTGTGCAGCTCCAGCTGCCCCTGCGGAGCTCCAGCTGCCCCTGTGCAGCTCCAGCTGCCCCCAAACAGCTCCAGCTGCCCCTGTGGCGCTCCAGCTGCCCCTGCACAGCTCCAGCTGCCCCT